GCCGACATTCTGCATAAAGTATTTTACAGACACCGATACTCTGTAGATCTCCTCGTTAAGAAGCTGGTAGCAACCTAGAGTAGATTTTATATCCAACCGACCCATAACATCTTTAGTTGCAAATTAGAGGAATAATAATAATAATAATAATAATAATAATAATAATAATAATAATAATATTTTCGAAAATAAAACAAATATTTTTCGCAAAATTGGCAAGCAGAAAACATTTTCAAATACTTAATGGATTTTATAAACACAAAATACCTACACGATTTTTTTTTCAAAATGTTATGGAACAGAGACTACAGTTTTCAATAAATATCAACACTCAGAGCTCTTCATACTTTTCCATCTTCGATAAAGCTGCACATGAAACTATTCACTTCATGCACTCATGCAAAACAAAAACATCTCTAGTGCTCAAAAAGCTCTCCACCTAAGAGAATTTCACAGACAGGCACTCGACAATGCTTATGGATGTTATGCTATTGAAACTGAAAGTACTTATTGAGCACTAGAGACTAATATAGGCACAAACAAACAAAATTCCCCAAAAAAACGAGGTGAGTTCATGCTGCAAATCGACAAGTGATGAGAGGTTTGTAGGGTGATTGAAATTTTCCTTTGTTTAATGGATATGAAGTGGGCAGAATTTTGAAATTCATTATGAATTATGAATAGGCACATTCAGCTGTAAATATTTCAGAAAGTGAACGCAATTATTAAGTTGTAGTGATTTAATCGCTCAATGAACGTATGACAAAAAATCCCATCATCCTTCAAAACGCAGTTTAATTTTTTTTATTTAAACTAAATGGTAGAGGATGAAATTGTCTTCCTCTCTTTCTTGCTAGATAAAACTAAACGTCTCGGTGCAAGATTTTCATCTCGCAATTACTACATTACGTTTTTCACGTTTGTTTCAAAAGAGAGACCACTCCTCCGTCCACTTTAGCCCTTTCCTGTTTAGCAGAAAATGTCATAAATTACAAACCTGCACGGACGCGAATTTTCAAAGAATTTGATTTGTTGTGATCAAGGAAATCTTTGAGTTGTTTTCTTAATTTCCTATTTTTTTTAAAAAATTATAACAAAGTTTACTAATTTATTATAACATAATTTACGACTAGTCAAACGCAATTAACAATTATAATATACAATGCATATTGAGGGTAAGTACTTTTTCATCTTAACCGTCAAGGTATCTCAGTTTGATAAAATACACCCTTCTATTTCTTTGGAAAAGGCGGAAATGGTAAGGCATGACTGGAATTGAATAAACAAATAAAGTTGATAACAATTTTAACAATAGAACACCCAGAGGCATCATTTCGACTCCTGGCAATCTTTATGTCCTTGTATCTTCTTTGTTTTGAACGTAGGATTTTGTTATTTTGTGACTTTTAGTTATTTTGATTTATTTACAGTTAGTAAAAAATTGCAATGTAAAAAATATATTTCATGAAAAATAATCGAATTTACCTAGAATGTCTGGGAAGCGTCATTTTGACTCCTTGTGTTTTGCTCTCGGCCTTAAGGTTTTGTTTCATATTGTGTCGTTTCAGATAGACACGTCGAAAAGAGAGTCAAAATATATTTTAATAGAAATAACTCGGGATCTTGGTAGAGGCAATAGATCGTGAGCGTATTCTTTATTTATTCCGCCAGAACGTACGAACTAATTAAATTCAATCAGACCGGGGTAAATAAGTAAATAAAACATATTTTAGAACAACAAAAAGCAAGTTTATATTAGGTTTTGAAAAGTAAATTCAAGAAAAGTCATACCTTTTATCGCGCTATGAAGGTAGATATGAACATTTTTATAAACTGTCTGTAAAAATATGTTGAAACCTCGGTGAATTATAGAAAGATATGTAGTTAATTTACGTATAGAGTATGATAGTGTGAAGACAAAAACTAGAGAGAAAACGCAATTTTATGGAAAATGTGCAAGCGACAAATGAAGAAAGAGGGCAGTTGTTTTTCAAACACTTCAGTGAAGCTAGGAAAAGACGAGAGAATGCTTGTGTACTCAATTGAGTTTGGATGGAAGAAAAGACGCCATGTTGATGGTTAAAGTGTGGTATGATAATTAATGGATGTCCACATTGAAGCATCAAAAATTTAGAATGGATTTAAAAATAATTACAATATGTAAGTGGTGACCTGGAATTGGAAATAATTGATATATACGTGCCAGGCAGCTACGGAAGAAATTACCAAGGGAAGCGATCCTTTAAACTTTTCTTTTTCTTGATATTCGACATAGTGAGAAGGCTAATACCCGGTATTCTTAAGGGAAAAACATTGTAAATTCTAAATAACATGTCCATTGGAAATGAAGCGAATGCGCGCTAGTATGAATTAGTTTTTGCAAATGTTATGCGTGAGTGGTGTGTAAATATTTCAATTTTTTATTTCAAGGGTATGTAAATCTGTGTTTCTGTGTTATGCTATGTTATGTGTTTGTACTGATTAAGAGAGGCGGCTACGACGCCAAGTAAATTCTGTTACGAATAAATAATATTGCAGCAGCGTTGGAGGTTTGAAAATACTTTTGTGTGTTACTAAGTTAGGAATGTGGAAAGAGCACAGTAGGTATAAAATCCTTACAATTGCTGATAAATACCAGTTTTGTGTATAGGACGGGCTTTGCGCTCACACAACCAAAACAAATTTCTTAAATGGTCCATAGTTTCATCTTGTGTGAGTTAGTAATGTCAATGTTAGTAGAATTTGCGATGATAGCAACCGGTTCCATCTTCTTTATAATTATTATTATAAGTAAAGTTGGTCAAGTGGCTGACTAACATTTAGCAAAGGCAAAATAATATCAATAATATTTATGGTTATAAATAAGAATTAAGTATTCGTTTCAATATATTTCAACGCTGGAAGTTTTTAAATGTCTTTCCTAGTATTTTGGATACTTTCTAAAGAAATATGCGACCATTCTTTCCTTCTTTGTTTTTTTCTAACTCTCGCGTTCAATAGATGCAAATTCATGAGTTATTTGGTGACGGTAGCAAATAGATCACTAAGTTTTGAAAATAAAATTATTATAAAATGAGGGAATAGCATTTGTAACACACAATGGTTGAAAGAAACAAATATTTCTTCAAACAATTCAGAAAAAGGTAAATGTCAAAGTATAAATGACATTTTTGTGTTTTAGAAGGCATTTCGGACTCCAGTTTGTAATGGTGTGTCCAGGTAACTAGTTTTTTAGACACTGTCGTATTTCATGATTTTCGAAATAATAAGAAGGGTTTGAAAAGAAGTCAATGGCAAATTTCACTGCTTTTATCGGAAAATTTATTCTGCTTTAGTTTGAAGCGATTTACAAACTGTACCAATATTATGCGTCAGAGGAACAGTGTTGAAATGCCGGCAGTTACCTTCCAAACTGTATATGTATAGAACACAGTTCATGTCATGAAACCAATTGAGAGTTTCAAAATTCAAAAGACCAAATTCATAAACCAATTGAGAGTTTTGCAGTATGATCACTAAAGTGCCGTGTTTCAATCTCTTTACATCGTTGGAAATATTATAGAAGTTTTGTGAACGACAATGAGAGAATACACCTAGAAAATGTAGCCATGAACCGCGTAAGGACACGATGAGGGTGTTAATCGAACGTATGTACTATTCTATAAAATTTGCTCCCAAACCGTAGTCTCTACAAGTCTTTACCGTTTTGGATCAAATACTATACATATTTATACTATTTATGCCTAGTAAAGTCAGAAATGTAGAAAGTAAGTACAATAAAAATCTGAACAAGCACAACTGCCATTTAAAACATGACATTAAATTTAATCTCCGACCCCTAAGGCACATCACGCTCCAACCGGTATGAAACAAACCTAACAATTGTAATACAATTTAAATAAATGTGACATATTTCGAGAAAGCACGTTAAGTGAATTCTAAAGAAATATATTTTTGGATAACATGTGAAACTAGTATTATTTAAAATTATATGTTAATTACATTTTATTTTATTATTACCAAAATTTGTTATTACATTAACATTTTCTTTTCAACAAACTTTTGCTCGTTTACTTGCGGATTCCGTAAAACACGTTTAACTTCGATTTCGCCGGACAGTAATGACAATAATTGTTTAAAATATATTTCAATTGTGACATAACACCTCTATTATGCACTAAATTATTGTTTTTAATAATGTTATAATGACATAGATAAATATTTTTGCAATATTTCCATGAAAGGAATAACGTTGAAGGCTCGGAGTTGAAATGAATCCGCTGGGCATTCTAGAGGGTATTAGTGCGATTGAGTTTCCCTGAGCCTCGAGCAAATGCTGAATGAATTATATTTAAAATAACTTCTCCCCAGAGCACGTCACACACAGTTTTTGACAGTTTTTGACGTAAGTAAGTAAGTAAGTAAGTAAGTAAGTAAGTAAGTAAATAAATAAATAAATAAATAAATAAATAAATAAATAAATAAATAAATAAATAAATAAATAAATAAATAATTGAGTTACTACATTTTATACACTTTGGTTAGGTAAAGTGAAACATTATGCTATTTTAATCAGTTTCGTACTGAAGTACTTTACCGCCCCAGTGTGGTAATGTACTGCTACAAAATTTCGACAAGGCCTGATGTTGGCGAAATTCACAGGTTCTGATAGTAGTTTCGTTATAAGATTGGTGTAAAATGACAAATGAAATTCTGCAGAAGTGATTAAACGCAGTATTTTAAAGCTTACGCAAGTACATTTCTTCGTATTGAGGATATAATTGGATATTCACTGATTTTTTTGTGGTTCTCACGGTACGTTCCACACCTTCCATTGTCGCGACTGCATGATCCCGCCATGTCGTGGCGAGCGTTTGCAGGTGTGCTCACAGAAAAGTGGGACGGTGAGGGTTTGTGGGTAAGTGAACGGGATGAGTAGTCACGTGACCAAGTGGTATAAGAGAGAGAGCCGACGGGCGAGCAACTCCTTAGTATTTATTGATTGCCTGTGGACTCACACGATGCTCGCCAAGATCCGGCTTGTTGTTTTACAAGTGTACCGCAAAGCTCGAGGTGAGTGATTCCTCCAGCGCATTTGATACACCAACGTGAACTCAGAAAATTCGGCGTTTGGATTTATGTTCCTCCGTATAGTGAACATCGAAACTGGAAAACGTTACTTTATATGATGTGTTAATTTCAGACATATCGAATTTTTGGTCTGTTAAGTGAATTGATTTATTTGGTAGGCAGTAAATCATGGTGTAATGGTGTGGTTGGGAATAGTTTCTTTCAATGTCTTTTTTATAACGTTTATAACTTTAACGTAATTCGATCTGATTTCCAAGTTTACAATCACGAACTAACAGAAAGTAAAATCAAAGGTAAAACTCTAAAAACGTGTAATGTTTTTGTTCTCAAGCTGAAGAGTTACTTTGTTCAATAGAATTACGAATTTGGGATGGGAAAGTTTATTGAACTTGTTGCCGAACAAAAGATAATATGTGTTGTTATGTATATATTAGAAGATTTGAGTGAAATTAAATGTGATATCTTAGCATAAATTCAAAATAAGGGTGTTACTAAACAAATTTGTTTGGGATCCCATTTTAGAAGCTTTGATAATAGTTTTACATGCAATAGTTACTAAAAGGTATTTGAAACGAATGATTCAGTAGATGTTAAGTACCATTTATGTATTTTCTATTTTTTGGTATTGAATAAATCCTCATATATGCCAGAATTTCGCAATAGTGTTTTTCACATGCGATCATTAACCAACGTTAGATCCCCGTGTTTTTCAAGTTCACCAAATATAATTTATGGTAATTGTGACCGCATTTTCGTCACTATATATCACTAATAATTTCGTACATTACACTATTGTTGCAAGGACAAGTGATGAATTAAGTTCAGTATGCAATACATTAAAACCATTAATTATCCATTGTTTCAGATCCAGTTAAAAGTATGGTTAAGTTGTGTTTGAAAATCACCATCGTTTGCTTGTTCTTGACAAGTCTCATTCTGCTTCTGTATGCAGTGGTTGACCCGGTAAATATCCATTTGCTGCACTTACTCGCAGAATCTGTTTTCGACTAATAATTGTTGGAAGTGAAAGAATACAGAGATTTTTTACAAATGTTTATAATGATCTGTTTAAAATGAACAAATTCGTCAGAGATTGTTTTGTACGATATTAAATATTAATATATTTTGTTTGTTTCAGAATGAGGCAAACAATTACAAGACGGTCAAATTCACCAAGAAGCACGGAGGATTCAAACATATCACATATCCAATCAAGCCTTTGGATCTATGCGCCGCACTGGGCCGTTTAAATGACTTGGCTCTCTGCTTGCGTCAAATGAATGACCTTCTGGAGAATACATGCATTGCCAATGGAGACCAAGAAATTTAGGTTAATAGAGCGTAAAAGTAACATAGACTTTCTGTGTGTTACTAAGAGAGCTTTATTATCTTTACGTAATGTTTCTTGGTATAGTTTACAATTATGGCCATGTAACAATTAAGAAACGATTCGTTTCGTATGCATTTTAGGCAATGAAAAGAAGTATGTGAAAATTTCAAATTCTACGCATTACATTTTACTATACCAGAAGAAGACTCTCTTTGAATTTTGGAAGCCTTGCAATTAAGTTCGAACAGAAACTAAAAATTGTTTTAACGTAATACAGGTCTTCAACTTTTGATTAAATTATTTGAAATGTAAACATCTACAGTATAACGTGAAACATTAGTATATATACTGTTCAAAATACATGAATCTTTTATTCCGAGGGGCCATGTGTTTGTGTAATCATTTGATTATTTATTGAAGACTTAAATAAAGTATATATATGCAAAGCGAATTATTTTGAACTTCCTTTCTTCCCCTGTGTTACTTATTCGAAAGAAAAGCATTCATGGCAGCTTGCATTTGGCACCTCTTCAATTATCTGAATATGAATTCTGTTTCATTATTTTGTACATCTTACATTTATCAAATCAATTCCCATTACATGTCAACCGCAAACCGATTGGCTCTGCGAATACTCAAATTGTTACTTTCCAGTATACGTACGTATATACGGTGTAATATTCGTAGTACAGGGATAGTTATGTAATGCAGCGGAATATGGATTTTGAGATTTCAACAAAAATACACGTATTGGAGTCCACAGATATCGAAAAAGTGTTTTTTTAAACGTTCGTCCGTCTCTCCGTCCGTCCGTCTGCCGTCTGTCCGTCTGTCCTCTGTCCGTATATCCGCCGTCCGTCGGTTCATTCGTCCGTCTGTCCGTCAGTCAGTCTGTCTATCTGTCTGTCTGCTGTCTGTCTGTCTGTCTGTCTGTCTGTCTTCTGTCTGTCTGTCTGTCTGTCTGTCTGTCTGTCTGTCTGTCTGTCTGTCTGTCTGTCTGTCTGTCTGTCTGTCTGTCTGCCTGTCTGTCTGCCTGTTCTGTCTGTCTGTCTGTCTGTCTGTCTGTCTGTCTGCCTGTCTGTCTGTCTGTGTCTGTCTGTCTGTCTGTCTGTCTGTCTGTCTGTCTGTCTGTCTGTCTGTCTGGTCTTCTGTCTTGTCTGTCTGTCCGTCCGTCGTCCGTCCGTCCGTCCGTCTGGTCCGTCCGTCCTCCGTCCGTCCGTCCTGTCCGTCCGTCCGTCAGTCCGTCCGTCTGAACATCGGACATCGGCTAAACCATGCACAGCCATGTTTTGTGAGTCGACGTTTTGAGAGTTTGAAAAACATTCTTTAAAATTTTGGGATATTTTACATGAAGCCTCCCGGACATTTCCAAAATTTTCTCAAAAGCGGATCTAAATTTATTCTTTAAAGTTCTTGTAAGAATGGAGTAAAATACACTTACAAAGGTAGCATAGGTCCGATATTCACGGTTCACTCTGAATTATCGAAAATTGCAAAAGTTTGATTTTTATCTGCGGCTTCTTGCAAATACAAAATTGAAAGTAGAGGTTTTTCCTTCAAATAAAATTTGTTGTCCATAGTGAGTTATTTCATTAAGGTCATATACATTTTTAACTTTTAGTAGTTTTCGCGCAATATTGCGAGCAATACGTGTAATTTTAATAAAATTACAAAAACACGATTTTTCCATCAAAGATTCCAAATTTTTTCTTTAAACTTTTAGAACGAATAGGGCTAAATACAGTGACATAGACGCCATATTAATATATTCTTTTTTCAAAAATTACAAAAATTAAACTTTTTTGACATGTCTCTCACGTCGTTAATATTTATGCTAGCGACAATTTGTTCAAATATGTAATTATAAGTACATGTGCTTTAAATATTGTCAGAAACAGCTTCTGGAAAACTCAACAGTTTTCTGTCAAAACTAGCTCTAAATTTTGCAATTTCAGAAACGCTCATACGACACATCCTCAAAAAAAGGCTCCAATTTTTTTCTTCAAACTTTTCGAAAGGATAGTGCTAATTGCACTCCTAAATATGACGTAAAGTTAATTTCGGGGTATTTTTTGTGTTTTCAAAAGTTACAAAAATGTAATTTCTTTGAAAGATCTCTCACGCCGTTATTACGCACATTCCCAGCAATTCGTAAACACTGTTGTGTTTGTGACTTAATGTGCTTCAACTGACCTCGAATTAAGTTTTTTTGAAAATTCAAAATTTCTCTGTGGAAAAAGCTTCAAATTTCGAATTTACAATAGTGCTTAAACACTAGTTTTTGGAAAACGGCTCCCAATTTTTCAAAGAAAACTTACATTTAGGTTGGGCTCTTTAATATTATTAATATAATATTTCCGTTCTACTACTACGAAACCGAAAAATTAAGAACATTTGAAAAACGTACTTTGGTGGCGATAGATAACAGATGGCAAGAGTATGTGGCCGAGTTCCAGTGACTAGCCGAGACCAAAGGAAATAAAAAAGTAAAAGTCTGTGCTATTCTGTAGCACCCCTAATTTTTTTTTCAAATTTGGACCAGTCAGCACGTATCCACATACTGTTGCAAAGTGGTAAGGGCACATCTTTCTACGAGTCGATAGTCGATACCGCACAACAATCAGGTTCGCGAACGCAACAGGACAGTACGCGCGTACGTACCCTCCGTTGACTGATTGTCTGTAACGCCGGCCAATAGATCAATAGTCCAAGAACTTAGAGTCAGCGCGGTCGCGTGTTATGGAGATTTGTGTGTGCCCATCCCTGGGCAATGCGTGCATTGAAAGCCACCCGTGCGAATGTGGCCTCATCAGCCCCTCAAAACACGCAAGTTGAATTCTCCTTTGCGTTTCGCGGTGGCGCAGCTACTCAGAATACCCCATAAACCCACCAAAGTCGCCATCCCTCAGCCCTTGGACCAGCGTGAAGTGAAATGGGTACTTGCTGACGTTATTCTGTACTTGGTACACAGTCGTGCACAGTACACCAAATCTTCGTAAATGGTCGCGAAATATGGCTGTGGCTCTACCTGCACATTTTCAAATCTGTTCTCCTCGGTTGCAACAGCACGACGGCGTGGTCTTCCACCGTCGGCACTTCCAAACGGTAGCACGTTCCCCATAACCGTTTAGGTGACTCAGGGCATCAATCGATGTCCACGCAGTGCCTGTAATTGGGAGGTACAAGGGTTCGAGATCCGGCGGTGGCATGATTTTCGACTCTAGCTAGATAGCTAAGTCGAATTCTGGCGGTGTCTGGAGGAGGATTATCGCGGTCGAATGCTCTGATTGGTAGTTTTAGAGGTTTATCCGATCAGCACTAGACGAATGCCGAGATAGTACGCTTCTGTCTGGTCTCTCGACATGTATGCTACACTTGTATGTGTGTGTGTGTACGTGGGGGATGAGGATGGGACAAGAAGAGGTAGGAAAAATTGTGTGTGGTCCGAGGTTCGTTTGTTAGGGAATTCCCGTGGTATTTCGTGGAATTCCGCTCCGGTATTCACGTGACATTGATTGGAGAAACCATGGAAAATTAATGATTATATCTCGATATATCTTCCAGACGGCGGTTCAATTCCACGTAGCTAGTGTCGAAAATCCTTCACCGTCTGGACCCGAGCCCTAGAACGTGCACATCAGTGGTGAGCAACTTCAACCCTTTGTGCCATTGGTTGCTAACGCGAATCACGTAATGCAACCAGGAGACCTAAATGCTTATTTATTTGGCCAGTTTCCAGCGAATGCGACACATTACTAGAATATTTCTTAATTTATGTCACCTGATGTTACGGTGAGTATATTACGGTTTTCGTGTAAGTTTCACCATGACCATTTGATCAACCGTATCAAAACCACAACCTTTCACGCCAAAATTTTTTTGAAAATATTTCAATTTTATTTTCAATAAGTTTGTCCCAAACACTTTAATAGTTAATTTTAGTTAGGGAATTACAATAGACCCCGGTTGTAGAGACCTCCTAAGAACTAACATTTTTTAATTCATTATGTCCCATAATGTCAGAATACAATGTAGTCTTTCAATTCTGAATGATTTTATGGATTATTACAGAGCTACAGTAATAAACATAATAGTCGCGAATTTCAACTTTTAATGTCTTCATATCATCTTTACACTTGAACTTTTATTGTGCACATTCTATAAATATCTAAAGAATAAGTCTGGATAATCAATGCCTCTTGCATAGTTGGCGTACTTACTTCATTTATTTGTTTCCTAAGTCATCAAATTGTTTTTTTTTTCTGAACTGAAGCAGTTTCATCAGTGGTAAAATTCCTTTAGTTCCTTTCAAATATAATTTTTGTTACAAATATAATTCATGAGAATCTCTTCAAGTTTGTGTTATATGAATTCGCGGGACTAAAGCATAATCTGTTTCCTGAAAGTTGTAACTGATAACTTAACACTGTAACCGTTTCTCAGATTTCACTATTACTGGAAATTTTCGTTTTTATTTGTTATGTATGTTTGTTGGGATCAGTGTACATTCGAGTTGGCTATAATTATAGTCGACAGTATTATTTTTAGGCGAAATAAATTATTCTCGAACGTCTTCCAAAATTGAGATTTGACCCTTTCTTAAAGCTCACATTGAAAGGAAATTATGCAATTCCGAAAGCAACTCCAACCTTTTTTCATATATCTAGTGGGAAAAATAGCAACAAAAAACAATATGTAATGCGTTTTCTGATGCTTGTGCGACTGGCAAACACTCACGAACCCTTGCTAAATATACAATTATCAAGATGTCTGCAATAAATCATTATTTAATAATTATGGAATGTATCTTTGTGATTTAGATTGAGGGTATACATGAAAATTCGAACAGGATATGCATGAAAACGTTTAACAACATAAGCAAACTGAGCGAAGCATTGGATCTGGAATATGTGGCGTTATTTTCCCTCCAATATTAAACGCATATCAGAAAGGTAAATAATGGTGTGTGTATTTCAATTGTTCTATTCAGACATTGAGGTTGATCACGTTTCGTCGGAAACGATGAAACATAATGTGGCATCTGCAACATGAGCTTCAATGAGTGAAATCACATTGTCTGCTGCTTTAATTTACTCCAACAATATCTTTACAAC